CAACAGGAATGTTATACAACTGGACATCATTCCTGCAGCTGCATTCAGAAGTATTTAAAATTGTATAATGTAGAGCAAATATTTGCTTGAAGACAATACAATCTGTTACACCAGTAGCAAGTCATTTTGGAATAAAATGTTAAGGCTGGATTTTCCAGGCTGCCTCTTTTATAGAAAGTGGCCTCAAAACCGCCTCTTTTCAGCTCCATGAAGTTTTGTTGAACATCAACCCAAAATGACACCTATTTTTCCATGCTTTTAAAAGCAGTGAAGTCTTGGCATTTTAAGAGTGGTATCAGTGTGATTTCAGTATCTTCCAAAATCTACAGGAAATTTTGGAGCATTTTTCTCTACAGGAAATGTAGAGTGTTTGGCACTCTACAAACTCAGGCAGACACAGCTAGAATGGCCTACATGACTGAGATTTTTCAGATCCTCTTTGAAACCAGAAAACCAAATGGCAGGATTGCAAAGAAAATCTGGAATAGGCAGAACAGTGGCAAAATTCATGATGGTTTAGAAATCAAGGGGATGTACTTGAGGGGACCAGAGTGGGATAAATTATACTTCAACTAAACCAAGTTTGAAAGCTGGACATTAACAGACAGACATAAATAGGAAAGGCTGAGATTTTAAGTTGTGCAGAGAAAACCTAAGTTCTAGGGAGAGATGTTGAATTGAATGTGAACTGGAGAGATAAATCACCAAGATGGTCTTGGGGTCAAGATTGGTGGGGAGGAAAATGAGAAGGAAGTAAAAAATAAACTTATAAGGACAGAATAATTTAGGCTGGAAGGGACCTCAGGAGGTTGCTAGTCCAGTCTTCTGTTCAAAGCAGGTCAGTGAGAAGGCCAAAGCAGGTCAGTGAGAAGGCCAAAGCAGGTCAGTGAGAAGGCCAAACCAGGTTGCTCAAGGCTTTCTCTAAATGGGTCTTGAAAACCTCTAAGGTTTCAAGGATGAAGAGTGCACATCCTCTCTCAGCAATCTTTTCTAATGCTTGACTGATCTATTAGTGATTTGTTTATTAATCCTCGCCCTCCCCTATATCCACTTACAACTTACCTTGTTTCAACTTATCTCCATTATCTCTTGTCCTCCTGTCCCCACTGCAGAGCAGGCTTGCCTTTTTCATAACCTCCTTGCAGGTCCTAGCAGGCTGCAATTAGGTTGCCCTGGACCCTTTTACTCATTTGCAAAGAACTGCAAGAGAATATGAGACCAAAAAGAAAGAAACCTGAAGGCCTGATAAGAGAAAAGAAACAAAGCTAGATAGAGCAAGGAACAAGGAAAGACCTTATTCTGCAACTTAGGGGGAGGACAGCCCTCAGAACTTTTGGAAGGGCAGTTTTAGTTAAGCTCATGATGCAAAAGGCAGAACAGATAGTGTCTGGGATGAAAGGTGGCACAAGGAAAAACAATGCCAAACAGTGACGTAACTATTAGCAAGGGGGGCTGAAGGAAGAGGAGCAGAAAGAGCTTGTGGGAACTGCAGATGGGTGAAAGGAAAATTAAAAAACAAAACAGTAAATACAGCCAGTGAGCTGTACTTCTTGGCAACAGTTGTTTTTGGCTGTCTCCAGAATGCCTCTGAATCATCTTCAGCTGTTATAGACCCTCCAGCCTAGATCAGGTCCCCAAAGGGGCCTTTATCTTCACCAGACAATCACAGGGCTAGGAAACACCACAAGGATTTCACAGCAAAGCAATGACATTAAAACCAGTTCTGGGGGCACACAGAGTCATACATTTCTACCACATACATCGGTTATTGATTCATCTGAGACTGAGAAAGCTAAAAGAGAAAGTTGTACTACTGAATAAAGAGTTTTTTGGAGACCTTAAAGAGCCTACAGATTTACTGCAGCTGACAATGATTCAGACACTCTGAGTAGTCAACCTAGACGCTGTGACTGTGAAGATGAAGTACAATGAATTGACAAGTTGTGCCAACTAGGCCATTCAGGTCATGCTGAGAAACAAGATGAATTTTCCACCCTTGCCTTCAATAACAAGCATACACAGCACAGCAGACAGTCAATAAACACAGGAATG